CACACACACACACACACACACACACACACACACACACACACACACACACACACACACTTATGTCCGTAGACAAATCTGTGCTGCTTCACTTTACAGTTCAGCTTCCTGTCAAAAACACAGCAGGGATTATTTAATCTGAATTACTAATCTTAAACCGATGATGAGAGCAGCTCAGACATGTGTCGGTGTGTCTGTTAGCAAAATATCTCATGAAACGTTGAACCCTTTCAGTCCGGTTCAAGATGCAGGTTGCGTCCTGGAGTTGTTTCGGTCAGGGTCCAGCGCTCCGCTCTGCTTGGACCTTGAGCTCAGGTTTATTGGACCGGACCGGACCGGCCCGGTTCCTCCCAGGTCAGCTGGTTCGGCTCTCTCAGATTAAGCAGCTCCTTCGGCTGCGTAAACAGGTCGTGTTTCTGTTTCTTCAGCTGTGGTTTTTAAACAGTGATTAGCTAAGTTTAGCCTTTTATTTGTTTTTGTTATGATCGGAGAATTTAATCGAAATCTGTCCAGCGTTCAGATATTTTACTAACAAACAGCAGCTAAAACGCTATGTTAAAAAAAATCATATTTTCAGCTACTACCGCACAAAGTTTTAGCTGATTTTCTATGTAATTAGCTGAGTTCTAGCCTTTATTAAAGGGTTGAGAATTAACTTGAAATCTGTTTGACACTGAGATATTTTGTTAACAGACAAACAGCTAAAATGTCATGTAATAAAATTCAAACTTTTAGCTATGACCATGCTAAGTTTTAGCTGATTATCTCTGTAATTTGTTAATTTATGGTCATTTTTTTAAGGTCAGGGAATTTAATCAAAATCTTAGATATTTTGCTAACAGACAAACAGCAGCTAAAATGTTACGTAAAAATAGTCATACTTTTAGCCACTACCATGCCAAGTTTTAGCTGATTATCTGTGTAATTTGCTGAGTTTTAGCCTTTTTTTAAGCTGAGAATTTAATCGAAATCTATCCAGCGTTCAGATATTTTACTAACAGACAAACAGCAGCTAAAATACTATCTTAAAAAAATTCATATTTTCAGCTACTACTGCACAAAGTTTTAGCTGATTATCTATGTAATTAGCTGAGTTCTAGCCTTTATTAAAGGGTTGAGAATTAACTTGAAATCTGTTTGACACTGAGATATTTTGCTAACAGACAAACAGCTAAAATGTCATGTAATAAAATTCAAACTTTTAGCTACTACCATGCCAAGTTTTAGCTGATTATCTGTGTAATTTGCTGAGTTTTAGCCTTTTTTTAAGCTGAGAATTTAATTTAAAGATATTTTGCTAACAGCAAGTGTTACATATAAAAACTTTAATTATAAACAGCTAAAATCTACTTTTTGTTTTGTTTGTCGGTCGACCTGCAGGTTTGGGTTCAAACGTTCGGCTGATACTTTCAGAATCAGAACCTGGAACTTCAGCACGTCTCTGAGCTGCTTCAGATTGATTTAGTTTTGACAGTTGTGTTGGAAAGCAGCTAAATATTTCAGCTTTCCACACAGGGATGCGCCGCGGCGTCGGTTGTGTAACATCAGTTAAAATCTGCTCGTTTATTCCGGCGCAGAATGAAACGTGCTCCAGATTTTTCTGTGCTGCGTTAATCCAGAGGGAGCCGTTTGGGGCGAATTCCTCCGAGTGATGCAACTCTGAGCTGCTGACGCCGACCGGCGGCGCCTCCGTCTCCCTCTGAGACAAACTGCAGCTACACTTCGGCTGCTGTGGTTGTTTAATCGCCCACCTGAAGGCCTCTCGTGCTCCTCTGAACAGCTGATGGAGAGCACGCCGTCGCTCCTGTCAGTCATGTTGAATCACGTTTCAGTCAGATTTTGCAGATTAGAGATTAAATCCTGAGTTCTCGAGGCGTCCTGTGGATCCTCTTAGCAGCAAGAAGGCCCGAGATCTGAGAGGAGAAAGGCCCTAATCCAGGATCCTGACCCGTCCTCCAGGAAAAGATCGAAGTTTCTGCACTTCACCGAGACTCCACCTGAAACGACATCTGGGATTAACGAAAGAGAAAACTAGCTAAAACCTGAAAGAAATGGAAAAACATGAAGCAAAATGATAGCTAAAAGCCAAAAACAGCAAAACAACCTGAATGCTAAAAGTTAACAAAGGTACGTTAAAAGCTAAAATTAACAATAAGTTAGCATAAAATACTAAAAAACTAACCAGAAACGTGTGAAAAGGGCTGGATAGTAGCTGAAAGTAACAAAGGCTGTTTAAAAGAAGCTAAAGGCTAACTAAAAAGTTGTAAAAATAATCTGAATTCTAAAAAATTACCAAAAAGTAGGTTAAAAGCTAAAAGTAACCAAAAGTTAGCATACAGTACCAAATAGCTAACCAGCAACTAAACGTGTGAAAAAGGCTAGCTAGTAGCTGAAAGTAACAAAGGCTGTTTAAAAGAAGCTAAAGGCTAACTAAAAAGTTGTGAAAATAGCCTGAATTCTAAAAATGACCTAAAAGTAGGTTAAAAGCTCAAAGTAACAAAAAGTTAGCTTAAAGTGCCAAAAGGCTAACCAGAAATTAAATGTGTGAAAAATGCTGGCTAGGAGCAACTTAAAGTAACAAAGACTGTTTTAAAGCAGCTAAAGACTAACAAAAAAGTTGCAAAAATTGTCTAAATGCTCAACGTAGCGACAAGGTATGTAAAAGTGTGTATGTAGGTAAAGCTAGCGAGGAGCTAAACATGTCAGAAGGCTGGATTAAAGCTAAATGTAGCAAAATTCCAGCTAAAAGTAGCAAAAAACTTAGAAGGAATTCAAAAATCAAACTATTAATTTAGGAGGTAATGGTAGTAAAAAACTAGCTTGAAGCTAAAACTAGTAGAAAGATGGCTAAAAGCTAAAAGTAGCTAAAAATGTTAGGAGTGCAAAAACCAAAACAATGTAGGAGGCAGTGGTAGTAAGTGTAGTAAAGAAGTGGTAGTAAGACTAGACTAGACTAAGCTCAAACTAGTAAAAAGATTGCTAAAAGCTAAAAGTAGCAAAAAAATGGCTAAAGGCAGCAAAAATAAGCTAAAATTTTGAGTAGGTAAAAGCTGGATGAAAGATAAATACAGCAAAAAAAGACCTATTAAAAACCAATAAATAAAGAAATAAATAAATTTAGAAGGCAGTGGTAATAAAAGACTAGCTAAAAGCTAAAAATACCAGGAAATATGGCTAAAAGCTAATAGAACTAAAAGAGTTACCGAAAGCAGCAAAAGGTTAGCTTAAATTACTGAGNCCATAGCTAAATGTCAAAACCAATAAAACAGTAAACACAAGCTAAAATTAACAGAAAGAGCAGCCAAAAAACTAAAACCAGCAAATAGAAAGAGAAAACAGAAATTAAAAGAGCATTAGCTAAAAGCTAAAAATACCAGGAAATATGGCTAAAAGCTAATAGAACTAAAAGAGTTACCGAAAGCAGCAAAAGGTTAGCTTAAATTACTGAGAAACTAACCCGAAGCTAAACATGTCAGAATGGCAGGCTAGTAGCCTAAAGTGTAAAAGACTTGCTAAAAGCAGCAATAAAATAGCCGAAAGTTAGTGCAGGTTAAGGCTAGCTAGAAGCCAAAAGTAGTAAAAATGTGGCTAAAGGCATTCAAAGGTTAGCAAGAAGCTAAAAATAGCTAAATGCTAGCTGATGGCTAACAATCCCAAACGGCTTGGTTGAATCAGCAAAATGTTAGTTATAAGTAACAAAAGTTAATAGGATAAATAACTAAAAGCTAAAGGTAGCAAAAGGCTAGGTGAAGCCTTTAGAAAGCAGTAAAGCAGTGAGCTAAACTACATGCCTTTATTCCCACAAACATCTCCTGTCGCTCTACAGAGCTTAAGCTTCGGCTGTTTCCTCCTCGGAGCTCGTGCTCGTCTCCTGTAGCGACTTCATCGATCTGTGCGCTTTCGGCTCGTCCCGAGGATCAGAACGAGAGGCCTCATCAGGAGAGCCGTGTTCTCAAGCTCCGTCTCCCAGAGCCGTCGTTGTTTTTCTTCTGCCGGTGTGTTTGTTGTGTGTGTTTGCGTGTTTGTGTGTGTTCGTGCAGCTCGGCTCATCACATATTTAGCTGTGAGGTCCTGAGCAGCAGCAGCAGCAGGGTTTGGGACTCGGAGTGAGCGGGTTCAGATCAACACACTCATGGCTGCACATTACTTCAGCTGCAGCTCAGAGACGTCACGCCTGAATCCAGAAACAGTTTTTATGTTTACTTTATCACCCGCCAACACTTCTGTGTCTTTGATAGTATGTCTGTTAGCAAAATATCTCCTGAATCAATTGATGGATTTTAATGAAACTCTCAGAACTTAATCATAAGAAGAACGTTTACAGCTGATTAAAATTTGGAGTCAATCTGATTCAAGATGGCCGCCGCAGCCAGCTGACCTTATGAAACACATGAGTGCTGCTCAAGTATGCGTGGCCTGAAGTGTGAGCACCTTCCTTCCTGCGTCAAGCCGCTTTGTCATCCTGAACGTAACCCGACGCCGCGGTGCGTTCAGGAGCCGCCCGCGACCCCTTTAATCCCGTTAAAAGCAGCGCCGCCGTTCCAGACGTGACTTTTTAATGTGTTTTCTGTTTGTTGGTGTAGGTGGGTTAAACCCTGTCAACTTCACTCCCGCTCCGCGAGCGTGTTAGAGAGTCCCCTGGCTCCGTGAGTCACTCTGCTTCAAATCTTCTCCTCGTGA